ATCAGATCCTCCATGCAGATGATGCCAAATTTACCAAGAGATCGAGCAATCAAAGCGTTATCTGTCAAAGCATAGTTGCTTCTTACTGATTTTGCCATAACCACACTTGTAAATCAGTTCATTTACTGACTTCAGATACAGGTACCCCCATGCAATATACAGCTCCACAATTCTCAGTATGTTAATTCAGGCTTTGCTGAGCTTAACAAAGGTACCATTGAAGATCTGGTGAAGACGGAGAAGCTGCAACACCTTTCAAACCTCTGGGCTCGCTCCATTGATCCCGCAGATCCTGATGACAAATGCCAGTTTGGGTTCTGCAGGTGCATAGAAGGTGCCAGCTTTTCTTGCCATCCTGGCCTTGCAAATCTCAGTTCTGTACATCCTCTACATTCCATATGACAGTGCTTAGCTTTTTCATAGATAAGCTTCCTCCTTGCCTTTCGAAGCATCTCTTGAGCAAATTTCTTTCTCAGGCAATTGATCTTCAGCTCTGCAAAATTCCTTCACTTTTTCTTAAAGGTTTCTGGCACAGCAGGAACCTTTTTCTTGGTGGCTTCTACCACAGTAGGAACCTTTTTCTTGGTTCCTGCCGCAGCAGGAACCTTCTTTTTCTTCTCTTGAACGCCATCCGTGGTTCCAGCCAGAAAAGAGCAAAATTTAATTTTATTTAGATCCAAATTTTAAAACAAAACTATAAGTAGAGTAACAGTTTATAACCTCCAGAGAGAAATTCTACTGATGAGTTGAAAAATCATGCTACTTAAACTCTTTAAAATTTACAAAACAAGACCTGGTAGTTAACGTGACTGGATCCCACATGATAGATCATGCAGTTTGAATTTGGACATGATGGCTTGAGAAGCAAGCTGGGCATATATATGTGTGTACCTAAAATTCCCAAAGAAGGAAGAGATGGAAGGGAAGGGATTGCAGTGTGAACATTCATCATGGGGAGGAAAGTGGGTCTTTTCTCTCTTTCTTTCTCTCTTTGTCTCTTCCCAGTTAGTGTATGTACCATTTGGCAAAGACTCTCTTTTGTTGAAGACAAATCCTCCAAT